GAGATGGTGGAAGAGTATCAAAATAATTTCCTGCTTATAACCTGGGACAGCAGAGCAAGCTCAACATAAGGCTGTTGATCAGGTATATTGAGCCTGTAACACAGGGATGATTTCTAAAGCTTCACAATCCCTTATCCAAGCCTGTAAAATCTGGTTACACCATGCAGTCCATACACAGGTGTATTACTTACACAGCTCAAGATGGCAGGAAAAGCACAGGTCTAACAACATCATTTAGGGATTGATAGAACCACCTTCATTAAGGTGATTTCTAATGAACATCCTTTATCAGGGAGCTCTTTTTCTGGATCCAGGTAATAAAATCCTGTACAACTTTACAAGCATTGCCTGTAGGATCCTTGTTGTCCCCTAGCATGATACCCTGTCTAGAAACTTCCACTCTGCCCTCTGCTTGGACCGGTTTAGCTCATGGGTTTCAAAGAGCTGACAGGCTGTCTGTGATTCCCTCCCAACCACCCTTCTTTGCAACCTCTTCTCTTTGCCTCCTGCAGGGAACTGTATGAGCGAGTTCATGGGGCTCATCAAAGGCCACTATGAAGCAAAGGAGGAAGGTTTTCAGCCGGGAGGGGGCAGCTTGCACAGCATGATGACCCCTCACGGGCCAGATGCTGACTGCTTTGAGAAGGCGAGCAAAGCCAAGCTGGAGCCGGAGCGTGTTGCAGATGGGACCATGGTAAGGAGCCAAGGGAGCTTGTAAGAGTTGGAGTACACTATGGCATAGTGCCCACTTTTAAACCAAAGCCTAGTACTGTCACTTCTTGCTGGCAAGTTGAACAAGTACTTGGACCCAATTGCTGCAGCATTTAGTTCCCTCACCAATGAGCACAGCTCAGCTCCCAGGAGCTCCCCTTGAGACATTCGATGCCAGGCAGCTTTGATCATCTGCCCACGTAAACTGCTGCCTGAACAGGAAGCTGGGAATTTTGGTTTTGTCCTAGCCTATGGGCAAAGAAACAAATGCCCTGAATGTCCTCCTGTCTCTACCTCCTAAAATCTAATGATGATCATCAACAGACCTTGAACTAGAGCTTTTGGAACAACCTGGCTTTCCTGGGCAGGCAGGGAGTCGAAAGTCACTCCTGAGATCTGACTAATTCCACCATTGACTCATTCCGCCAGGTCTGAAGAGCATTCTCCCCGAGTTGTTCAGGCTGAAGACAGAACCTGGAAATACTGGACCATGTATACAAATCCTGTTTGTGGTAGAGCAGACAACTGGCCTAGATTTAATTTTTTCCTCTTATACCCTAACCTACCTTTCCTCTTCCCAACAGGCCTTCATGTTTGAATCATCCCTCAGCCTTGCCGTCACCAAATGGGGCCTCCAGACCTCAAATCGCCTAGATAAAAACTACTACAAGTGCTGGGAACCTCTGAAAAGCCATTTCAACCCTAAATGCAAATAAAGGGAAGTGCTTGCTACATGCAACATGAGTGAAGGCGGGGGAATCCAGCATTCCCATGTGTGATGGCACAGTCAACATGGGCAGTGCAGAATGCTCCAGCACAGAACAGCACTTCCACCAGCCACTGAGCCATGAAAACGATCATCCCTAAATAATGTGGGAAATCCATTAAAACCCATCAAAAATGGGTGATGCATAAAAACCACTATTCTTAACTTTCAAGTATCCAATTAAAGCATTTCTGGTGACATGTTGAAACTGAAGTACTTGCTTGGCTCTCACTACATGTAGCTGGTGTGAAAGCTGCACCTTTTGTGGACACGAGGTGACAACTGGCTTCTGTTCACAGGGCCTCCTGAAAATAGAACCCAGTGTGTCTTTCCCAGGGAGAAGCCAGGGATTGACAAAGCATTGTATGCTCTTTGTATGGGAAGAGCCTTATAAATAGAGCTGAAGGCTCTACCTGGCCTAAGTCCACTATCAGAGCAAGCCACTTCAACCTGCTCATCCATGGAGGGCTGCCAAGGAAAGACTTGGTTGTCAGAAAAGTAGACCACAAATGACAAAAGGTTGGAGAATCCAAAGCACTTCACTGCTAAGTGAGGGAAAGTTTCTATCCCACTCTCTGGCCATCCTGCAATATTGACTTGTTTGTCAGCACTTGACAAACTCTCTCCCTAGCTCTGTGCTAACCTGCAGCATAGCAAATGGGAAAGGGCTTCTCTGGCCAGTCCAAGCATTTGTTCCTGGGAAGGCACCTGGAAAAAAGCTCAACTGCAGACACGATGGGGGACTTCAACATTGATTGGAGTATACAAGCGTCACCCCCAGCTGGTGAATTCCACAGGGTGTAGGCAGCAAGCAAAGCCCAAGAAGACTGGGAACCAGGAGCACAGCCCAGGCACCCCACACTTCAGGCCTGTATTTTAGCACATACCCACACGAAAGTTTCTAAACTTGGTGCCACCAGATCTATGTTTCTTACTTCCCCAGAGAAGCAATTTTCCCAAAGAGAAAGAAATGTAGACCTGCGACACACAGTTATCAGTCAGTTACATCCATCATCAGTTTTGGATCTGCACCAGGTCCTTGGGGAAAAAAAAAAGGCATCAGCTTTGAGCAAAGTATTATAAAATCTACATGGAGACATTTACTCTAAAATAGCCAATTCAGGAAAGGACATTTGGGAAAATCAATTTGCCAGAGAAGCTGATTTAATCAGACTGATCCAGGGATAAATAAGGTCTAAATGTTTCACAGGCAGAGGAAGAGATTTTTTTTTTTCTGTTTGGGACCTAAATTATCATCCAGTGACCTACAGGCATGAATTTCTCTCGTACAGACACAACACCAAAGCATATATGGGTGGTAACACATTAGTCAAGGGTAAAATTCCACCCTAGATACCTGAAGGGAAACTTCTCTTTCCTTCATCACTGTACCCAGTACCACTGCCTCAAACACCAACCCCACCTCCAGCAGCATGGCATGCTCATTCTTAGCAAGAAAACAGCTTGGAGAGTTCTGGAAATAACAAGAGAGAAAAGTAGGGCAGCCTCTTCCCAAGCACCATGCTCAAATCTGCAGGGATGTAGCATCAGAGACCCAGGGCTGGAAAGGCCTGGAAAGCAAAGGGCTGTGGCAGGTGCCGCGAGCATCAATCCAAGGCTGGCCTAAAAGACCAGAGGCGCTGTGCTCATCCACAACCCATCCTGAAGCATTTGCTCAGCTGGCCTGAAACAAATACAGCTGCAAGGGAGAATTTACATGTGTGGCAACTCAAGTTCCAATTAGCTGAGGAAATGGGTCCTGGGAGATCAAATTAGTTTGTGGCAGCAAGAATAGCTAATTTAGCACGCTCAGACAAGCAATTATTTCTTTCCCTAAATACCACTCTCTCCATGCACTGATGCCTCTCTGCACTGATCCACAGCCCTATCTTGTAATATCATTTGTGACAGTCTTTTAGGAGCTATTCTGCAGAGAATAATACGGGTTTGCTTTAGTTAAACTAGCAGAACAAGCTGCAGAAACTGGTGCAAAATAGTTGCTGGGAGCACATATGGGATTGCAAAACCAGGGCACTGACTAGTCCAGTTTCTGCACACAGCGTAAGTGCCAAGCTCCACACAGTCTGAATGTTTCATGGCCCACACAAGAAGTGCTGCAATAGGAAACACTTAAAAAAAATACTTTAAAAAAACCAAACCAAACCAAAAAAACAACCAAAAAAACCCTCCAAACCAAAACAAAAAAAAACAAACCAAAACAAAAAATACCATAAAAAACCCACACTGTGAGTGATTTTGTTTTGAGGGTGACTGACCATGGGCACAGGTTGCCCAGGGAAGTTGTGGAGTCTTCATTTCTAGAGATACTCAAAAGCCACCCAGATATACGTGGTTCTGGACAATTCACTTTAGATGGCTCTGCTTGAGCAGAGAGATGAATTCCCTCCCAGGTGACTTCCAGAGGTCCCTTCCAACCTCAGACACTTTGTGATTATGTGGAAAAGCTCATCAACTCACTCTGCTGGAGAGTGACTGCAAATGGCTCGTATTTACGTCTTCATCATGCAGGAGAAGAAAGGATGCAGTAGACCTGTTTTTGCTGACTTCACATTGGCTGCTCTCCCAGCAGACAGGGAAGTTTTCAACTTTTATATCAGAATGATCTTCTGGCACAAGCCTCAGTGCCTGGGAAGGAACCATTCCCATAGTCTCTGAAAAATGAGGATTGTTTGGATCATGATGGCACCTACAGGCCATGTAAAAATTCAAGCATGCATCAAAAGTCTTTTCCTTGTGCTCACAGCTCAGTACATTGGCAGTAACAATTCCAGAGTCCTCTATACCAGTGGATCTGGGCATGAAAAACTTGTTATAAGAATAAACAGGAAAGACATCTTTGCAGGCCTAAGATTAAGATATGCTTGGTGGTGGATTTATTTTTTTTTTTTAACACAGCCCCCCTACAGGGATGAATTTTCCTACACTACAAGATAGTCAGTGTCAAAGTAAAAATCCTTATCTTACACTTCTTGTCTCTCATTCACAGGAACCACAGAATTAGTGGAAATTCTAGTTACATATAGCATGACAACATTCAGCTCACTATTTCCAAATCTGGTACTAATAAAAAATGCAAGTTTATTGCAATAAACAAACACATGGTTTAGGCTTGTAATTCATTAGGGAAAAAAAAAAAATCCTCAACTTATTGAGAGCAGTCAGGCAGACTCCTAAGTTCTTAAATATGTATCACAAAACTTGCCTATTATCCAGTTAGGGCAAACCACACAGCCAAAGTGACACCAAGAAGAAATATCTGCAAGGCAAGCAGTAGTTCCTTCAGGAAACTGCTTTGGTCCTGCTTAGCATTTTAGCCTGCTAATTATTTTAAATTTCAGCCTTCTTGGACAGCAGCAACTTCCATGGTTTAAAAGGATCCTCTGTATGTACACTGAAAGAGCACAATGGCTGAGCTCCAGACACCCCCTTTGTATCCATCTGGTTTAGATATAAAGATCCTACATTTTTGCACTTCCCATGGTTTTTAAAGATGCAAGACAACCAACAAGCAATTAAGATTTATTCTTGTGACAGAGAAATGTCATCACATAATGCATTTTATTTTATTTATATCCCATCCCCACTGCAAATCCAGGAACTTAGAAGAATACACTGAACGGTCGCTTGACTTTACCTTCCTGGATACGCTTCTCTTTACGTTCCTGTGGAAGAAAGAGAACATAAGGCACTTAGCTTCTCCTACTGAAGACCTGTTCAGATTGACCTCACATCTAGGTACCTCACAGGCCAGCAGAGACCAATTCCTGCAAGGCATTTTTCACCAAACTAGTTATGTCTCATAATTTGTACCTTGGTTTCTACCTCCTCCTTCTGGCGGAATAATCCATCTTAGAGATCCAATTATGGAGAAACTTGTTAATAACTTGCCTAAAAGTGCCTGTGATCACTTTCTACTCATTTGTACCTCACTCTGCAGTCATGTACCTTTCTGACAGGTACCATTACAGTATACAGGCACTGCAGATAATGGCCACATTCGTTCTGCTGGATGAAACCAGAAGATTAACTTAAAACCTGATAAATTATCCCTTGCTTTCTCAGACACACAGCAAACATTCCTCAGAGAAAAGACTATGACTATCGTGCCTTACGTACTTTCAGGAAAACAAGAAAAATCCCCAAACATCATTAAAGGAACTGCAATAAAGGAAAGTGAATTATCCTGGACACTAATTAAAGACTTCAGCATGGCAAAATACTGTAGAGGTATTGAAGTCTCAAGAACATTTGTATCAACGCGCTCAGCATGTTTCATAAAACCTGAATTTTCAATTCACCCTAGCAAACAACATTCCCTACAAATATTCTATTAATTTATGTTAGTGCTTTGTGCTTTATGACTTGATCTAAAATGCTACTTCTGTGCAAAAGAGGATAATAAAAGTGTTTTACAACAGCCACAAATTCTCTACTAAAAATAGCCACTGTCTGCCTGTTAGCATTTTTTTATGTATGTATATAGCTGAGTTTTTCCATAATGATCTACCATTGCTCAGATTCTGACACTCATAGTTTAGGAGTTAGAATGGAAGCAAGATAAACCCTCCAAAATATTAAAACGTTCAGCTGAGATCAGACACTTCAATTAGCATAATTTTTCCTCCCCATTTGCTTCACTAAATTAGAGAAATGGTCAAGCAATTGCATGGTCTGTCACCCATAAGCTTCCTGTGTATTTTAAGTTCAAAATGCATTGTTAATGCATGTCAACCACTGAAAATAGGAGTAATTTAGGATTAATTTTCACTCAGTGCTAGAGAGAGCTTTGTGACTGCGAAATAGCCTGATGAGGCAAAGTGTGACTGGCCATACTCCCAAGGGTACAATAAAGGGCTCTCAGAAAAACAAGAGTCTACAACCAGTAACAGGCTTTGAGGCAGCAGGCTCGCTATCAGCCTTCCTTCCCTCATTACTTTAATGGTATTAATCATTCCCAGGCACAAGAGGATCCCACAAACTGAGATTCCAAGCAGATCTACATTTTGCAAGCTGGTGCTTGTGGTGTTCACTGATGTTCAGCGTTGTCGACTTACCCTGTCAGTTTTTAAGACAAAGAACCAGAAGAGGAGGGGGCCTAACCCATAAACAGCTCCTAGAAAGGACGTCTTGGGTGTCGGGCGGAAAGTAGGGTAGACGTTCTGTGACTTCGCGAAGGCCCAGCGGATTAAGGCGGGATTTTCCTGGGGTGCAAAGAGAACGGCGGTGAGGCCGGCAGGACTCTGCACTGGCCCCTCCACCCGGGGACTGAGGCCAAGGCACACCGGGAAAGGCATCAAGGTCACGGGGAAGGCGGGCAGCGTCCCGCCGGCACGGCCCCGGCCCCAAGCACGGCCGCAGGCACGGGCCCCGCTCCGGGACGCCGCCGGCTGAGGCGGACGAGCCCCGCGCTTCCCCCGCCGACCCCTCGCCCCTCTCCGTCCCCACTCACGATGACGGCGGGCGGGTTGGGATTGTTGAGCTGCAGCTGGTACTGCCGCTTGAGCCGGGAGCGGATCGCCAGGCGCTCGGCCTCGGCGCGGAGCTTCTCCGGCGATGTGTCGTAGGTGTCGGGGTCGAGCTCGGCGGGCAGCGAGACGTACTGGTTCGGCCTGTACAGCTTGGCCGCCGATGGAGGCGGTGCCGACGCCATCTTGGAGAGCCGGCCCGGGCGCGCGCGGGGGGCGGTGCAGGCACCGCCCCCGCCGCGCCCTCTGCGGGAGCTGCGAACTCCCCTCACGGAACCCGAGTCATGGAATGGTTGGGGCTGTGCGGGAGCAGCGAACTCCCCTCACGGAACCCGAGTCATGGAATGGTTGGGGCTGTGCGGGAGCAGCGAACTCCCCTCACGGAACCGGAGTCATGGAATGGTTGGGGCTGTGCGGGAGCAGCGAACTCCCCTCACGGAACCCGAGTCATGGAATGGTTGGGGCTGTGCGGGAGCGGTGAGCTCCCCTCACGGAACCAGAGCCACGGGATGGCTGGGGCTGTGCGGGAGTAGGGAGCTCTCCTCACGGAACCGGAGTCACGGAGGGGTTGAGGCTGAAGGATGGTAAGGCTCATCCTGTTCCCACTCCGCTGCCATAGGCAGGAACAATTTCCACTAGACCAGGTTTATCAGGGCCCCATCCAGCCTGGCCTTGAATACTTCCAAACGATGTGACATCCACGCTTCTCTGGGGAACCTGTGCCAGTGCCTTACCACGCTCAGGGTAAAGGATTTTTTCTTTAATATCCAACCTAAACCTACTCTTTCGATTTGAACCCATTCCCCCTCCTCCTGTCACTGCATTCTCTCGTGAATAACTTTTCCCCATCTTTATTGTGAGTTCCTTTCAGGTACTGGAAGGCCAAAATTAGCTCACCTCAAAGGCTTCTCTTTCCCAGGCTGAACAAACCCAATTCTCTCAGCCTTTCCTCATGGGAGAGGTGCTCCATCCCTCTGATCATCTTGTTGGTCTCCTCTGGATTCGCTCCAACAGATCGATGTCCTTCCCGTACTGGGGACCCCAGAGCTGGATGCAGTGTTCCAGGTGGGGTCTCGCAGAGCAGAGGGGCAGAATCCCTTCCCTTGCCCTGCTTTGGATGCAGCCCAGGACACGTTTGGCTTTCTGGGCTGTGAGTGCCCGTGACCAGAGCATGTCCAGCCTTTCATCCATCAGCACTCCCAAGTCCTTCTGGTCAGAGCTGCTCTCAATCTGTTCAGCCCTCAGCCTGGTTTGATACCGGGGTTGCCCTGACCCAGGTGCGGCACCTTGTACTTGATCTTGTTAAACCTCATGAGATTCCCAGGTGCCCACTTCTCCAGTGCTGTGGCTGAGGGCATGTCAGAGGAAGGTTTTGGTCTCACAATAACAATAGTCCCAGCTGGTCAATTTTTCCTGGCCCCTGCTATTGAAATGGCCTTCAGAATGAGTCACAGGTCAGGAATGTGGACCCCTTTGAGTCTGCTGGAATAAGGGGCTGACATTGCTGTGTGAGTGTTTCTATGTTCTAGAAAGTGTAGTTAATGTATGACAAACTGCTGAAAATAAGTCTCTTAAAATCACAGGATCACGGAATCATAGAATATTCTGTGTTGGAAGTGACCCACCAGGATCACCGAGTCCAACTTAGCCCTGCACAGAAGCATCCCCAGGAGTCACATCATGTGCCTGAGAGCATTGTCCAAACACTTCTTGAACTCTGTCATGCTTGGTGCTGTAACCACTTCCCTGGGGAGCCTGTTCCAGGGCCTAGCCACCCTCTGGATGAAGAACCTTTTCCTAATATCCAACCTAAACCTCCCCAGGCTCAGCTTTAGGCCTTTCCCTCTGGTCCTGTCATTGTTCACCAGAGAGAAGAGACCAGTACCTGTCCCTCCACCCTGAGGAAGGACTGCAATTAATTTACACCATCAGTGCTACAGAGAACTTTGTAATAGCTATGTTTAAACATTAATTCCTTTTTGAACTGAATAAAAAAATCCCTATGTCTGGACAGTATTCCATGTTACACAAGAGATATGTTGCAGGCAGACTGGTATTTTCAAAATCCCACAGTTATTGACTTCAAACTGTCCCTTTGATTCTTTAACCAAGGCTGAGCTGACTGGACAAGCTGACAGGTAACCTCCAGGATTCCCAAGAGGTGACTCACCATCTTGACAGACATTATAGACAGGTTCAGGAATCACCCTCTGCTTGGTGAACACAGAAAACAGAAAGAAAACAGGGGTTTGACCTTGCACTGCTTTTGACCAGCGTGTGCCCAGGTGGCCAAGAAGGCCAGCGGCATCCTGGCCTAGATCAGTAATAGTGTGGCCAGCAGGACCAGGGCAGGGAATGTCCTCTTGTACTCGGCTCTGATGAGGCCATATCTCCATAACTGTGGGCCCTCTCGACAAGAAGGACATTGAGATGCTGGAGTGAGTCCAGAGAAGGGCAACAGAGCTGGTGAAGGGTCTGGAACACAAGTCTTGTGAAGAGCGGCTGGGGTTGTTTAGCCTGGAGAAAAGGAGGCTCAGAGGAGACATTATTGCTCTCAACAACTATCTGCAAAGAGGTTGTAGCCAGATGTGGAGTTGGTCTCTGGTCCCCAAACACAAGTGATTGGACAACAGAAAATGGCCTCAAATTGTGCCAGGGGAGGTTTAGATTAGATATTAAGAAAAAGATTTTCACCAAAAGGATTATCCAGCACTGGAACAGACTGCTCCAGGAAGTGGTCCAGTCACCTTCTCTGTAGATATTCAAAATACATGGCATGTGGGGACACCGTTTAGTGATGGGCTTGGCAGTACTGGGTTCATTATTGGACCTGATGATCTTATTTTGCAGCCTTAATGATTCTTAGGCTTTGGCTTTAAGAAGTTTTTATCTTTGTTGGTATTAAGAACTTTGGTCCCCAGTGATGTAAAGAAATCTATGCAAATTGTCTTTCTAGAAACAAAGTAGCCAGTAAACAAGTTTACTGTTTTGTTTTCTTCTTCCAATATACAAAACAGTGATAGTTTTGCTGACTGGGACCCAGTAAGTGAATGGCTGTGCATATATAGTTATGGCCTGATTTACACTGTGGTAACTGCAGACTCAGGTGATGTTGGATGAGGGATTACCATTTCCTCCTAAGCATACACAAAATAATACTGCTGACTTTATTTAAGATGCTGTGCTTTGGCACTGCAATAATAGAGCAAAAGCTCTTCCTCACATCCTACAATTTCACACTTTTTCCTAAGCACTTGGAAATAAATGACCTCTTTTTGGTCTGAACAGCTCATTAGGAGTTGTGACTTGCTTTCAGCAGGATGAAATACAAATTGGATGTTTCTGCTGTTTGTGTACCTTGAGCATCCCCACCACATCATCCAACATTAGGTACATTTCCCTCAAGTACAAGCCTATGGTCCTCTCAGAAATCTCTCCAGTTTTTCCACCCTCATTTTCTTCACAAACACGTGTCTGCAAATACAAGTGAAAACCAAGCTGCTTCATTCACCGTCAGTTCCCAGGAGAGTACTTATATGTCCCATTGCTTTTTCCTTCCAGGGATTTCAGTTTGGGTCAGTGGCTCCTATAGCATGGAAAAATACACTCCCTTTATTTTGCATTTTGTGACCATCGGATTTAGTGAGCTCTGTGTCTCCAGTTCCAAGACTTGTGTCTCTTCATAACTGGTATGTAGAGAGCTGCTTTAGCGCACGGTACCTATACCAGCAGCACTGCCATGTGGTGCTCCTGTGGTACTTTCATCTCTGAGTGTTCCCAAAGACTTGGCAGCCCGTGTCTCCCAGCCCCTGCATGGCTTGCTGCTTTTAAAGCTGCTCCTCCCTGTTCTCTCTTATTTCTTAATAAAATGACACGTGCAGCCTTGAAAGAGATTGATTCCTGGCAGAAGCAGGAGTGCAGATTGGATTAGCGAACTGGGAAGGGTCGGTTGCTCTGTGGGAAATGATGAGGGTTTTTTTCCCTCTTTGCTGCATCACAGAGTGGAACAGAAGACTCCTGTTCCCGCAGATCTCCCAAAAGACTTTAAAACAGCCAGATGCCTTTGCCCCAGTCTGCTGACTCCCGAGGTCTGTCTGTCGTGGTGTGCGACTTTTCTGTGGGCAGGAGCAGGGATGGTCTTGTGGTGAAGTCACTTGGCAAAGGCAGCAGGTTCAGCTCCCAGCCCTGTTGCAGAATCTTTGTGATCTTATCAGTGCAGGTCCAAGCTGTGCCTTCTCCCTCTCCCCAGAGCTCGTAGCTGTGAGCGTGCATGCTTGGCATGCAAACAGTGTTGGAATTAATTCTACTGGGAGAAAAACAGAAGGTACAAAGCAACATTTCCATTAACAATGTAATGTACTGTATTAGAAAACCGAGCAACCAGCTGCTATGCTGGAAACACCTTTGCATTTCATCTCTAATGGCTAAGTCATCCTCCTTCCCAAAGGATCAAAATCCTCACAGGGAGTCTTTTCTGAGAGATGACACTTGTTTCATGGGGTAAGAAAATAACTAAATCCCTTCCAGAGAAACATATTCTCTGACACTGAAGCCTGTGCTTTGCAGTTTGTTGTTTTCACTCCTTCAGGGATGAATTTGTGTACTTTCTTTGTTTTGTAACAGCCATGTTTCTAACTTTAAAACACATCCTTCAGCAAAAGCCTGAGTCACCAATAGTCAGCGTCTAAACCATGCATAAAGCAATGCAGGACAAAGACAGAAATGCTGCGGACAAAGCACTTGACTGAAATCAGTGATTGTTTTTTCTCCTGCTGACAGGAACTGCTGCACACAGGGAGAAATGCTGCGGTGACAAACTGTCCCCCTGTGCAGACCTCCTGCTTCATCTGTCTTCTTGGACCACCCTATGGCAACCTCTGAACACAGTCTTGCTGCTACTGCAAACCACCTCTGAAACAAAAGATTTTGCAAGAATGAACAAATCCTTCTTGTCCCTTTTTTGTCAGCCAGATCTTGAAGCTCGTTTGGCTCTCCTCCTGACTGTGAGTGTTGACCTAAGGCAAGCAGCAGGAATATAAAATAGGGTATAGTAAGGGTGGGGCCAGTCTCAGTAGGGCAGCACAGGCTTGAACTAGAATATGCTGGTTATAAAACCACATCCTCATGGGCTCACACACCAAGGCTTAACAGGTAAGACCCCAAGTGGTTTTTCTTCTTTTTAATCAGGATTGATGTTTATTGAATGTTCAAGGTTGGCAGTATTAAGTGAAATTGACAATTCTCCTATAAAAAGGCCTTTGAAGTTTACATCATCTGTTTTCTTTGCCATCAGCAGTAACCAAAATGGAAAGAACAGTCAAGAAAATTAATCTTTGTCCAGAACCCCATGGAGGGTTGGGCTTGACTGACTGCCAGACATCCACCCAGCTGTTTTCTCCCTCCTCTCCTTGAAATGGCTGGGGGAGAAAATGATAGAAATGATAGAAAATCTCATGGTTTGAAAAAAGTGCAGTTGTTAAGAAAAGCAAAAGCTGCACATGGAAGCAAAGTAAAAAGATGAATTCATTCACTACAACCCATCAGCAGGCAGATGTCCAGCTTTTTTTGGAAGCGAGGTTTCAATAGGCATAGCATTATGCTTGGGAAGACAGATGACATCACCACAAATGTCCTCCCATCATTCTTCTTTCCTTCAACTTGTATTTCTAAGGAGGACGTCATATGGCATGGGGTATCCCTTTGGTTATTTGGGTCAGCTGTCCCAGTTATTCCTCCTCCCAATCTCTTGCCCATCATCAGTCTACAGACCTTCAAAGTTGTTGGTGGGGTATTGGAAAGTCCTGACACTGTGCTAGCACTGCTCAGCAGCACCCAAACCCATGTGCTATCAGTGCTGTTTTAACCACAGATGAAAGACACAGACCCTGTGGGTTGCTGTAAAGAAAGTTAAGTCCATCCCTACTAAACCCAGTACAAAGGTAGTTTGAAAGCTGTCTGACACCACTGAATTTCAGACCATTCTCTCAAGGTAGCCTGAAATCAGATGCACTTCTGTGACACTCTTTGACTGAAGCTGCAAATAACTTCCACCTTGAGTTTAAAGTAAGCCAAGATACTTTCAGTTTAGAACTGTTTGATTTTGCTGGTGGCTTTTCAGTCATGCCCTAAAATATACAGACTGGATTTTTTGTATACACAAAGTCACTTTTCAGTGTGACAAGACTAAGTGATTCTGCGCTTCGAGTGAATGAGCGAAAAATTAACCTAAATCACAGACCTGTCGACCTACCTCCAAGGTGACCATGCATGATGTTTTCAGAAGAGACAGGTTAAATATGCTGTCAACTCCAAAAATATTGGTGCCTGTCAAACTTGTGCTGAGTGCTTGCAGTTGCCCTGTTTGAATCAGTTGTCAGGCTGGGTCAACATGTTGCTGGGCTCTGTTGTGAATTCTCAGTGACCTTTTGCAAAGAAAGCAAGCTGGAGAATGGGGGAAGCTGACAAAATCACTCATATCACAAGAAGGTTCCTGAACAGAGGCCCCTTACTTCTAATTCTCACATGTAATGGACAAGAAGGGTCATTTGGCTCCTGTTCCCATTCTATACTAGTGAATAAATACTGCAAAGTGTGCTGCTGACCTTCTTTTGAATGGGCATCAATATCAAGCATCCATGTGCATGGATAAAGCTATTGTAAAAGCCAAATGGATACAGAAGGGAAGCAGTGTAAGAAGCATTAAGATCCAGCGTAGTTTATTTGAACTCAGAAATAGTGCATCTAACTGCAGCATATAGCTATACTAATACATTGTCCAGATACAATGTAATTCATTCTGTGTTAAGAACTGAAGTCCCCAGTGTCTTTATCTTATAGTTGTTTAAAGGAAGCCTAGCATGCAAAGGAAGGAGTTAAGATGGTTAGGGGAATTATGAATTGTTAGCACAGCCAACAGGCCACCCATAAATGTGTATCAAATGTTGAGCTCAGCAGGAGTTAGTTACAAAACTAGGACATTTAATGAGTCATGAAGTGCCAGGAATAATGAGACATGGCATTAAACAAACCATTCCTGCCTCTCCTTGGCTTGTCCAGAGACGATGGCAAGAAGCCCTCTGCTGTTTCAGCTTTTCCTGTCAAAATAAAACTTTTGACTCACACTGAATTATAGCTTGGCTGAGCTGCCTCAGCCGGGGAGCTGGTGCCGCCTGGGCGGCCCTGGTGAGAGAAGGATAAGCTGGCAGCCAGCATCTCTTCCCTACTCCTTTGCAGGTCATTGATTGTAGCATTTAGTACTGTTATATTCTTAGCTCTCCCTCTGCTTCCAGCTCCTCACACAAGAAACTATTAATAACTATATATCAATGAAGAGTGGGAGAGGAAGAGGTCTTAGAGCAGGGTGGGAATTTGAAACCCTGCATGTCTGAGGGGAAGTCCTGTTGTTGGTTAAGTGTTACAAGTACTTAGCCAGTTGGGGGCTAACACTGTTTCTAGACTTCACCTTAAAATGGCTGTCAGGAACTGGAGCATTTCAGCACACTGTCATTGCTCCAACCAGCCCCTACCTGGCCCAGGAACAGCATGAAGCTGAGTTTCTTGCCTTAGAGCTGGCCTGAACTGTGTGAAAAGTGTGTTGTATCTAGGCTTGGCTCGAGTTCCTAGCTTGACCTCAGGCCTTCCTTATTACTTTGGATTTGCCTGGACAACACTGGACTGCAGCTGGTTATGGTTATTGCCACTGGACCTGCCCTCATCACCTTGTCTGGCTCCCAGCTCAGCCCAGTCTTGCCATTCCTGGTCTGCACTGTCACTTGTGGAGCAGTGCTCAAGCTCATGGCTGTGGGGATTGTATGTGGTGCCAAGAGTGAACTCAGATGACTGCCAATAAAAATTCACAAAGCAGTTCTAACAGGAGTCAGTGAGAAGAAACCTAAGTGTTGCAGGAAATGGCTCACACTATGTAAGGGGAGGCATCTTTTCTGGCCTGCTGCTCCTGACACAGACCATCACCAGAAGCTGATGTTTGTTTTTTTTCCCATTTTTCTGCAGGTGTTTTGCTCTGCTCACAAAAGAAATTATAGATCTGTCTCATCCAGTCTGGGTATCAGAAAAGTAGGCAGTGCCTGCTGTGAACTCCGCCTGCTTCTCTCTGACATGAAGGGGAGAGTTTCAGACACTGAGTCCTCTTATCCCAAAACATGCCTGAGAGACTGTGAACCAACCCTTGGAGATTCATTTTTTTTCTCCATGGGTTGTGGAAAGAGTTGAGTGTAGCCCAGCTACTTTCCAGTTCCCTGAGTATCCGCTGTGTGACAGAGTGCCATGGCTTATGTAGCCTGGAGCAAAATGTTACCCAGCCTTTACTGCACATGGAGAACGCTCCTTTAAGTTCTTCCCAGACCCTTTTCATGGTGAAATGCTGGAGTTGCTGACAGCAAATGAAAGCCCCATGAAAAATGGCTCTGGCCCACAAAGCTTTCAGATTCCCTGCAATGTCTTACTTGAAATTACCTGATGGGTTTAGCTGGACTTTTTTTCACAAACAGAATCAGAGTGTAAAGACAAGTGTGCTGTGTGAAGATCCAACCAGGAGAGGCCAGGGAAACTTTAATCCCCAACAGATATGGCCACTCTTGCTTGTGAAGACAGAAATGCAGTGCCTCAACTGTTGGTTTGGTTTTAGGAACTTTGCCTGTAAAGGTGGAGTCCACTTAAAAACATCATCTTGGAGGAAGCCTCACTTTATGGTATCATCAGGTCCAAAACCTATCCACAGCCTGAAATTAATTTTTAACTCAAAAAAAGAAGTAGGACTTTATAGACAGTGACTCTTTTAGAAGTCACAAATTTTTGCTTTGTAGAGGAAGACACTCCAACCCTGTGTGGGGAAAAAACCTCCTGCCTGAAATCTGTGACAGATGAGCCTTGAAGGAGAAGCAGCTCTGTTGCACTATGTAGAAAAAGATGCTCACTTTGTTTTGCTTTATATATTTTGTTAGAAGTCTGGAGCTTACATTTTAAATCAAGTCTTTGGGAACACACTGTGAAGCAGGCCATCAGTATGAATAAAATATGTTAGTAGGAACATGTTGAATTTAGTGTGACTTTGGCAATCTCTGTATTGCAGTGGGGAAGGGCTTAGTTGTGGCAATGCAGAGTGGTTTTTTTTTTTCTTTGCTCAAGTAAAAGACAGAATACAAATGAGGCTGTTGCTGCAGAATGCCAGCTAGTGGGAAAGATACACCATGTCCAGACTGGGTATTTCAGTGTTTTAAAATAAATTATGGCAATACTAGAACTTTTTTAAACTTTTGACCCATAGAGATAGAAAGGCAGAGCAGTGATGTCCCTGAACTCTTGTTATCATTGTATAAATCAGGAAATTCACTAAACAAAAAATATACCTTAGCACTGCAGAAGCCTGTATCCATCAGGTTTCACCTGCCTTTTTGGGGAGACAGGCTAAGGCAGCTGCCAAGGTTAAAAATTGCTTCCTAAATTTTTGTTTCTATACTTCTCTAGATAACCTCTTAGCAGAGGGGTTTGCTCTTTGTGTAAACAACTTCTATTTACAGTGCCACAGCTCCCTAATTCAATCAGTGTAATTGTGATTTCAGTCCTTAAAGGAAAGATTTCCACTTGTGGTGTGACCCTTGTAGGACTCTTTAGACACAGTGGTGTGGTGTCCTGCTCTCCTACTGCTCCCTACTCCATCCCCTTACATGCATCTGCTTCCTTCCTACTCACCTCCATATGTTTTAGCCCTACCCAATCCTGTTCTCCCACACACTCAGCACTGCTGAGGGGCTCTTTATTCCCTCAACCTACTTTGACTTCCCCTGCCTCCTTTACTTGCTGCTCAGTTTTTTCCCTGCTCTCTACTGGACGTATCTCACTCACTTTCATCCAAATATCTTTAAAAGTAGATCCAGTTGTGGTGGCAGCCAATTGCAAAATGCTCGACAGATGGCAACTGGTGACT